AGAGAGGGGATGTGGTTTAAGGGCTTGGATGAGGAGGGGTATAAGGCGCTTGCTGCAGCGACGAGGGAGGATCGGATTGTGGAGGATGTGAGGAAAAAAGGGTGGGAGAAGGGGAGGGGAAGATCATGTATTGGGTTGGTAGGATGGAGAGGGAGGGTGGGGGTTGATGCGAAGGTTGCGGAGGTGGGTTAGGAGGGCTTTAGAGGAGGAGATTGGGATTGATGGGAAGAAGGGGGAGTGAGGGGAGTGTGTAGAATACTGTAATTTATGTAATATACCATACAAATACCACGATTTTTTGACAACTTCAGCGCAACTACTCATCGTGCACGCATACCCCGTCTACAACTTCTTACACAAAACCACCCCTCCATCCCCCTTAACCCCCTCTCCCCACTAAACACCCCATCCATAACAACCCCCACCTCTCAAACCCCTGCCTCGCATAAAACCTCTCCGCCGCCCCATTCCCCGCTCCCATCACCAAATGCACACCCCACACCCCCTCCCCCTCAACTCTGTTTCAAGCCTCTCTATCATCTTCGCCCCCAACCCCTTAGATTGGAAGGCGGGGAGAATATCGATGTGGAGGTGCGCTGGGTACTCCTCTACCAGTTCGGGGAAATCGGAATGCAGCATTGACGAGGGGTTGTGGAGAGCTTGTAACATCCCTCCCCCAAGCGTGGCTCCCTCCCATGGCAGCGAGGGTGGAGGGGGCGCAGCCCACCAAGGGGAGAGGGTGAGGAGGTAGGTTTCTTCGTATGCGGCGACGAAGGAGGGGGTGGAGGGGGCGCAGAGGATGTAGCCCACGCAGGACGCTGGTACGAGACTAGACGTGCCCGTTACATCTCCATCTGCGTTGCCAGTGGAGGCAGAGGCATCGAGCACGAAACATGTCCCAGGCTCTAACCGTACATACGGCAGCGCCCATAAATAAGGCGCCAGTGGTGCTGATGGCGCGGGGGCGAGGATGGCGCGTAGGTTTGGGGGGGCCGTGATTTCGCACTGAGGGTGTTAGGTATGCTCTAAGAATGCTGGGGATAGGGGCGTACGATGCGCGAGACGGCTACTTCGTCCCACGAGTCTGGCGCGGGATTGAAGGGCCTAATCACGATTCCTGACTCTGAGTCCATGGCCATCTTTTTTTCTGTCTCCCCAGCGGTCGTGTTTGGCGCTGCCATTGCTGTCAGGTTCGGTGTTGGCGGGGTAAGTGTAAGAACTAGCAGATGGAGGGGTAATTATGTCATTTCGATATCACCGCAAAACGACAGTGCTGGTGCGGGTGCGAATAGCCCTCTTTATACCCCCTCCCCATCCCACCTACCACCATCCACCGGGAAAATCCCCGTGCAACTTCACCGTCGCCTACCTAGCCCCTCGGCGCCAGCTACCACGACGGCGGTGGCGGACGCACCCCACTTCGCTCTCGCTTTCACCACCAGAATGGGTCGAATTCCTTTCATTTCCTCGGCAATCCCAACTTCACCGAAACCTACCGCTACTTCTCGACTCGCTCGACCAGAGCGACTACGCCGCCTACAATGACCAAGTGTTCTACATAATCCCTAAAATCGTCAGCCTCGAGTCACGCAAGCGCCGCGGCCTAGTGGATCCCGTTAGACTATCTAGCAGCGCGTATATGCTCAATGAGCTAGTCCGCTAGGCGTCACCGACGCCAACCCCGCGTCTCAAGGTATGCCCGCCCGACAACCAGCTCCGCGTTGTCGGCGCCGACGCCGACGCTATAGGGGGATAGGGATGGGGGAGTGGGGGATTGCTAGGGTTGGATTAGGTGGAGAGGGGTGGGGTTTGAAACGACGATGTAAATGTGCTGATTGATTGTTCATTTCTATATTATCATCCTCCCCCCTAACATCTAAACGAAAACATCAACCCTCCCGCCCTCTATCCCCTCTAACACTAACACATGCACCCTCCCGCCGGATATGTTAAGGAGAAGAAGGTCGCGCTATGGGATACGCTGGGTTTTGACCCTGGAATGACAGGTTCCCTTTGCAATCACAGCGGGCAGCTCCCCTATTGGCTTTCGTGCGCCATAGTATGGAGCCACCCGTTCAGTCGCCGACTGAACTCCTAGATCCTAAGCGCCTCAGAGGTTTGAGGATGGCCCCCGAAGCCTACAAATACGATACATAGGCCCATAGGTAGCGTGATAATTAAATTGATCTATTTATTCTACATACTGTACTGATTGAAGCCTCATATTCCGTTCTGCTAGCCACGATGCCCATCCCCACCGCCCACCCCTCCTCGCCCATCACCCCTGTACAAGAAATGGCTGATCTTCTACTCTCTAAACAAGGTAAGAGCCCTATTAGGAAGAACTAGACTACTAACTTTATTAAGCGTCATATAGAAATAAAAGCAAAGTTCAGTTAGAAGTACGATTATAAATGAGCAAAATGTGAACATCTAAAGATAATTAAAGGGTAGTTCTCCTTGTACAAAACATAGTTGCAAAATACAGAATATTAGATAAGAACTAATGCCTTAGATTACTATAACCCATTCCTAATTACTAGGCTATACCTTCTTTGCTTTTACACGCCTAAAGCTTGTCATAACTATCACAGTTAAGATAACACCTATCATAAACCTAGTCTTATTAAAGTTGTAGATATCTACTTTATAGATGCTATATTTCGTAATTGTGTTGTAAACAAGCTTAAACCAGCTATAGATAACTTCTACGTCCTTACACTTAGCCCACTAGTAGTTGTATTTGCACTAGAAGCGTGTTGTAATGGTGGGTGCACCAGATGTGAGAATCTAGCCACCCAAGGAAGGGATGATTTTACTAAGACAACACACTGTCTTAGGAAAAAGAGCCAAAGGGTCGTAGCTTAGACTATTCCACAACGCAGCAATCAGGTGTATGATGTAGTGGAGTGGTTTAGACAAGTTGTAACAAATGTTGAGTCTGAGAACTCAGGGATAAGGGATAAGTCAGAGGTTAGCACCTCACTGACTTTTCAGAAACAAGGAGTAACAAGATCAATGCTTGGAAGCTTGGAAAAGACGTGGAAGTATGTGATAGTCGATTTACTGTATTGTCTGCTTGCCCTTTCTTAAGGAAAGGGCAATCCTATTTATGCCAAAGGAGTGTAGTTCTCTCATTTTCCAAGACCAGGCTTGGTAACTGTAGTCGACGTAAGAGAATCCCATAGAACCATCTCCTAGGTTCCTAGCCTATAGGAAGTGAAAGGAGGTCCAAGGTCAGAGTACCCCTATAGACAGATTATGTCATAACTTAACCAATCTTGTGGGTAACTAAGGAGCGATGACGTGTAATGAATCATAGACGGTTGTAGAAGCTTTTGGAGCTATCATTCATGTTCCTAGGCTCTAGTTGATAGAGATATGTCATGTGTAGTATTAGCCCAGTGTAAGGACACAGGGCACCCAGCTCACAGTAATAGCATATTGTAATGGTGGGTGCACTGTAATGGTGGGTGCACCAGATATGAGAATCTAGCCACCCAAGGAAGGGATGAATTTACTAAGACAACACACTGTCTTAGGAAACAGAGCCAAAGGGTTGTAGCTTAGACTATTCCACAACGCAGCAATCAGGTGTATGATGTGGTGAAGTGGTTTAGACAAGTTGCAACAAATGTTGAGTCTGAGAACTCAGGGGTAAGTCAGAGGTTAGCACCTCACTGACTTTTCAAAAACAGAGAATAACAAGATCAATGCTTGGAAGCTTGGAAAAGACGTAGAAGTATGTGCTAGTCGATTTACTGTATTGTCTGCTTGCCCTTTCTTAAGGAAAGGGCAATCCTATTTATGCCAAAGGAGTGTAGTTCTCTCATTTTCCATGACTTTCCATGACTAACCAGGCTTGGTAAATGTATTAGAAATCAAGTGCGACCCACAACTAGCTTGCTAATCATGTAGTGAACGTAAGAGAATCCCATAGAACCATCTCTTGGGTTCCTAGCCTATAGGAAGTGAAAAGGAGGTCCAAGGTCAGAGTACCTATAGATAAATTATGTCATAACTTAACCAATCTTGTGGGTAACTAAGGAGCGATGACGTGTAATGAATCATAGAGGGTTGTAGAAGCTTCTAGAGCTATCGTTCATGTTCCTAGGCCTCTAGTTGGTAGATATATGCCATGTGGTAGTATTGGCCCACCCCCTTAAGGAGGAGATTTTCTTAATAACTTGTTCAATGAGTGTTCAAATGATATGCCGTGATGTATGTAGCATAAACAGATGTAGTAGAAGAGTTTGCAGCAATCGTTGAGTAGTATTGCTTCTGTTGTTGGTGTGATAAGCCAAGATATGTATGGTGACTTGTAGGTTTGAGGAGGAGATTTCTAAGTTTGCTCTTGAGTTTGATAGCAAACTGAGTGCAACGAATGTCAGTATGACATGATCCCCCTTTTAAGGACGTTTGTGGGCTGTCTGCTTGCCCTTTAGCCAGGTGGCTTTCTTAGAAAGAAATTCTAGAATGAGCTTAGATGCATTTTTTAGATTTCTCTTAGGCTCCCAAGTGTTGTCACTTGTAGGATAGCCTTTCCACTTAACGAGGAAGTAGTCCTGACCTCTAAGTGTCTTTTTGTCAAGGATAGACTCTACTTCATATTCTGGTTGATCCAAGATCAGAACAGGAGGTGGAGGAGACTGAAGTGGTCTTAAGGAACTTTCTTGTGCCTTAGACAAGAGAGATGCATGGAAGACATTATGGATAGTCCAAGTAGGTGGTAATGCAAGCTCGAAAGCATTCTTGCCAATAGTCCTTGTGATCTTAAAAGGTCCAAGTCTTTTAGTATCAAGTTTGTCTGAAGGTCTAGTAGTTGTGATATGTCTTCTAGACAAAAAGACTTGATCACCAACTTTGAATTGTGGTGCAACCACCCCCCTGTTAAAGGCCTGAGCCTGCTCGTCTTGTGCACGCTGTATTTGAACCTTGAGATAGTCCTGGAGGCCCTTAAGGTAGATGATTCTTTCAGTAGCAGAAGGGTTTTTGAAATTTTCAGGACAATTCAGTTCTGCCACTTCAAACCTAGGGTGATAACCATAGTTTGCATAGAAAGGTGTCTCTTTTGTGGTGTTAGAGACTGTGTTGTTGTAAGCAAATTCTGCAAGATGGAGAAGATCTGCCCAGTTGTCTTGAGCATAGTTTGTATAAATTCTTAGATATTGTTCAAGTACAGAGTTGACTCTCTCTGTCTGGCCATCTGTTTGAGGGTGATAAGCTGTAGAGAAGCGTTGTTCCATGTTTAAGAGTTTAGAGAACTCCTTAAAAAAGTTTGAAGTGAAAACTGCTCCCCTATCTGAGATCCAGTGTCCAGGAATTCCATGATATTTAAAGACCACCTTGAGGAATAGCCACGCAAGTTCAGAAGCTGTGATAGTCTCATTGCAAGGCTCAAAGTGTGCCATTTTTGTGAGCCTTTCTACCACCACAAGGATAGAGTCATAAGGGGTAGCACCCCCTTTTGGGATAGAAGGAGGCAACTTGACTATAAAGTCAATGGATATGGAGTCCCATGGGCGTTCTGGTATAGGTAGAGGCTGCAAGAGGCCATAGGGCTTTTGCCGTGTAGGTTTGTTCAAGTTGCAAGTAATGCAAGAAGATATATAGTCTTGAAGAGTAGTCCTTAGACTAGGCCAGTAGAACTTTCTTGTTAGAAGTTCATAAGTTTTTGCAAAGCCAAAGTGCCCTGCAGCTGGAGCATCATGGAACTGCTGTAGGAGGTGTAGCTGTAATCGTTTATCCCTTGGGACATAGATATAGTTCTTGAATAAGAGAAGTCCATGCTGATTTTTTGAGAAATTCTGTAGTCCAACTTTCTCAAGAGAGGAACCTTTCTTCTGGAGGTATTCCAAAGTTCTTTTCGCAAAGGGATCATGGTTGTAAGCATCTTTGAATGCTTTAAGAAGTGTTGCTGAGGGTGTATAGTCTTTAAAGGTCTCTGGTTCCTGAGAAGAGGTAATGGGGGCAACTTGGTCTTGAGGGGATAAGTTTACCCCTAAGTCCTCTGTAGTACTAGGGTTGCTTAAAGATGCTGCTATAAGCTTTGCTGAGTCTAGCAGAGCCTTTGTATTGCTAGTTTTAGCAGAATCTTGGTAGTCATGTCTTCTTGAGAGGAGATCTGCTCTTTGATTCTTGGCCCCTGAGACATGTTTTATAACAAAGTCAAAACCTCCTAGTTGTTCAGACCACCTTGCTTGTCGTCGATTGAGCTGTTTAGTGGTTGTAAAGGTCAAGAGATTTGAATGGTCACTGTAAATAGTGATAGGATAGTTTGCCCCTTCAAGGTAGCATCTCCAATGCTTTAGAGAACATACTATGGCAAGCAGTTCCTTGTCTGTAATGGGATAGTTTTGTTCGGCTGCTGATAGCTTTCTTGAGTAAAATGCCACAGGCTGTAGCTCTTCTTGTTTGTCTTTTGGAGCTTGGTATAAGATTCCAGAAATGGCAAAATCTGAGGCATCTGTCTCAAGAGTGGCAGGTTTCAAGGGGTTAAAGTGTAGTAACATTTTCCCTTCTTTAAATTCTCCTTTAAGAGCATCGAAAGCATCTTGCTGTGTCTTATCCCAGTGATACAAAGTGTCCTTGTGAAGTAATTGAGTAAGGGGTAAAGCCAAGGATGTATATCTTGGTATAAACCTCCTGTAATAGTTGGCAAACCCAAGGAAAGACTGAACCTCTTTAATGCTGGAAGGAATAGGCCACGTTTGTACTGCTTTTGTCTTTTCAGGGTCCATCTGAATGCCTTCTGTT